AGAGGGGCTTTGTGGGGGGTGGGGGTACAAGGCCACCGCCGCCACGGACAGCTACAGAGGCTATGTACAGGATAAGTTAGGCGCGTGCTGCGGGGTGGGCAGGGGGCTGTACAGGGGGACGCAGGCACCTACCCCGCAGGCTGAGCATCAGCTCCTTGATGGCGCGGGGGGCACGAGGAACCCCACACCCTGGCTCCCCAAAAAGGCCACTTGCAGCCACGCTCGCCCCAGGTGCCGGCTGCTGCCGGAGGGAAGGGAGACACGGAGAGTGCGGAGGCCTGGGGGGACGTGGGCTGGCGCTCACTGCTTCTTCTCACGAGTGGTGATAGTGACCAGTTGCTTGGCGGCCTTGGCGATGTCGTAGGCACACTGGATGACCTGCTGGGTCAGCAGCTGGTAGTCCACGGTGGCACCGGGCTCCGGGGGCACGGTCTTGCGGCACTCGCTCTGGAGCCGGTAGGCGCTGGCGTTGAGCAGCCGCAGCGAGCTCCGCACAGTCTCCAGTGCTGGTTTCTGTGGCAGAGCACAGGACCAGGGTCAGAACCCATGCTCAAGGGGCTGACAGTGTCTGGTGGGGACCACAACCACCCCAGGGACACACCACTCCTCCTACCTTAGGGAAGAGTGATGCCATCTCTGTCACAGCCGAGTGGATTTTCTCTGAGCAGGGCACGAAGCTGGGGGCAAGGAGAACAGGTGAGCAACACGGACAGCGCTTCCCAACCATGGAGGATGACAAGGCATGGCCCCACCCCTGGTCTGGGTGTCCAGGAGGGCGGACACAGGGAAGAGGCTGTGCCCCAGTCCTACCTGTCATGCTTGGACTCTTGTGCTGCCCGCAGCAGCTCCTGGATGTTCTTGGTGACCTGCTCAGTTTTGAGGATGACATCCTCCGTGCTGGGCAGGCCAGGGTCCAGCTCCCCGTCCAGCGGGTCCAGCTCATGGGGGAAATCCTCATCCTTGCTCAGTTCCACAAACCGCTTCCCCTCCATGCTGCAGGGACCAACCAACCGGCCTGGTCAGTATCAGCCCCCTGTCCCTGTGTCCCCACGTACACTGGTGCAGCTCCCAGCCCCACCACTCACCTGATCAGAACCTCACTGGCCTGTGTGTTGTCGTAGTCGCTGTCAGTGCCGCTGCCATGCCGGTCCAGCTTGCCCTGGAGGGGAGAGGAGCAGTGTGAAGCCCTGCCCAGCCCCATCCCCACACAGGGTCAGGAGTCTCTCCACCCCAAGTGTTGCTCCCCCTCCCTGATACATCACCATGTGTCGGGCACCATCAGGTGGGCAGGAGAGCAGTGGGGAGGATGGAGGGAAGGGCACCGAGGAGGCAGATGGACCTTTCCGGATCTGGAAGGGGAAAAGAGGGGAAGCCCATGCTGAACGGGGTGCAGAGCCAATCCTGGTGACGTGCAAGGGAGGACGAGCACAGGGGACACTGCCACCCTGCATGCACAAACAGCCCACAGCTGCCATCCCTTGGGGAGATCCCCGGCCTGACCCAGGGGAGTCCAGGGCGGTAGGGGGACAGGACATCCCTAAGGCCACATCCCAGGCAGGTGACATCCACCATGTCCCATGCAGGAGCCGCCCCCACTGCGGCCCCCTTACCCGGTACACGCTGGCCGGGATGTGCATGGAGTACAGAGCCTCGTCCTCCACCTCCTGGCGACACACGAAAGGTTACAGCCCCGCGGGGATGGGAACCAGCACCCTGTGGGGCTGGAGGGGACTGCTGCACCCCAAAACCCTCCCACCCAGCCAAGCACACTCACGCCAGGGCTGAAGGGCTGGAGCCGTGTCACCAGCTCCTCCACTGGCTGCCCGAAGGGTTTCAGCGCCGAGCCTGGTTCGTACATGGAGAAGGCCTGGCGGTCCCGGCGGTGTGGGGGGGCCATGCCCGGGGGGTGCCCGTGCTCCTGCCGCTCACTGGGGGCCGGGGTTGGATGCGTGGGACCAGTCTGCTGACGGATCTGTGCGTTCTCTGCCTGCAGCTTGTGGATCTGCAGCCAGGAGAAGGGGGAAGGCATCAATGAGGAGGTGGGGGGAATGCTGAGGAGGGGAGTCCTGCTGGCCCCACACCCACCTCGCGCTGCAGCCGGCGCAGCTCATCGCTCAGGCTGTTGTTCACCTTCATCAGTTGCTGCACCTTGGCCTCAGAGGCAGCCAGAGCCTTCTTCACCTCCAGGTACTCTTGCAGCGTGATGGGGCCATCTGACAGGTCGGAGGAGTCCATGCTCTGCAAGGAGAGGAGCTCAGCACTAGGGTCCCAGAGGTGGGGTCTGGCTGGCAGTGCGGGCCAGGGCCTGGCTCACCCTGGCACGGTTGTTGCGGGAGGCATTGCGCAGCAGCTCCTGGTCCGTGTCCTCATCAGAGGCGACACTGTCGTAGTCGTGCTGGTCATCCAGGTCACTCTGGCTCCGCAGCGAGTAGTCAAGGGCATCTGGGGAAGGGCAGGGCAGGTGCTAAGCACAGGGCAGGGGGGAGTGCTCAGCCCCACCTCGCTGCCCTCCATGCCTCACCCGTGGGGCTAAGCAGACTCTTCCCTTGCTGCCGGCGCTTGGCTTCCCCAAGGATGTCGATGAGCAAGGTGGCAAACTCCCTGGCGTTGAACCTGGCCAATTTTTGCCGGCCCTGGGGGGAAAAGGGGGTGAGCAGGGGTCTGGGTGCACAGGGGAGTCGTGTGGCCTAGAGGGAGCCTCACCTGGTTGCGCGTCGCTGAGTACTCGGGGTTGACAGGGAGGAAGGGGACGGCGCTGCGCTCTGTCACCAGCGTGCTGTGGTTCTGCGTCGTCAGCCAGACTGCAGGAAGGCACCTGGTGTCAGGCCCCAGGGGACAGACACAGGGGCTGGACCCCCGGACAAGCAGGCTGCAGGGCCCGGAGCCGGCAGGACACAGGCACGGGTGCAGGGCCAGCCTGCTGGGATTGGGAGTGAAGCCTGGCCAGGCTGACAGGAATCACCTCCTGCAACCACCCAGTGGGGCCAGGGTCCTCCCATAACCCCCTAACAGGACCCTCCCATGCTCTTCACCCTTTCAAGCACCAGCTCAGCACCCCCCAGCTGGTGGGAAGATGGTTTGACTCATCTGCTGCCACCCACCCTGCCACCCACCCCCCAGATCAGGGGCACCACTGCAGGCCATGCATCCATCCCTGGGGGATCCTGGCACCCACCTTGGGCAGCTCCCCAGCCCGGGCACCCAGTGCTGAGCAAACCTTCCCAGGCAGAGGAAGGGAGAAGGAGGAGCCTGCAGTCCCGGTGGACACATCCAGGCTGGGGGGACTGCAGGGCTCACCCA